GGGAAAGAATGGGAAAAAAACAGGAAAAAAATCGGGAAAAAAACGGAAAAAAAATGGAAAAAAAAGGGGATTTGGGGTTCCCAGGTGAGTGTGGGGTCAGGGGATCCCTTCCAGAAAGGTCTCTGACAGCAACCCCTGAATTTTGGGGAAAAAAATAGGAAAAAATCCGGAAAAAAACGGAAAAAATGGGGAAAAATGGACAAAAAAAGGGGAAAAAAATGGGGATTTGGGGTGAGCCAGGTGAGTGTCGGATCAGGGCCATTTTGGGTGAATTTTGAGGGTTCCCAGGGGTGTTTTGGGTGGGTTATTGGGTTCCCAGGTACATTTTAAAGGTTCCCAGAGGTGTTTTGAGTGTGTTTTGGGTTCCTGTGTGTTTTTTCGGGGTTTCTGGGTTCCCAGGTATATTTTTGTCACTCACCTGTGTCACCTGTCCATATCCCCCCCTCAGCAGGGGCAGGAAGGGCCATTTTGGGTGCATTTTGAGGGTTCCAGGTGTGGTTTTTACCCTCTCAGGTGTATTTTTTGGGTTCCCAGGTGTATTTTTGGGAGTTTTTGGGTTCCCAGGTGTATTTTTGTCACTCACCTGTGTCACCTGTCCATATCCTCCCCTCAGCAGGGGCAGGAAGGCTCCGCTGACCCTGACGTGGTCCCCGGGCTGGGCCTGGCGCGTGTTGGCCCCGCTCAGGTGCACGGACAGCGATCGGGGCAGGTGACCCACGGGCACCTGATCGGACTGAAAAGGACAGGGGAGCTCAGGTGAGACATTTGGGATCATTTGGGGACAATTTGGGATCATTTCGGGACATTTTGGGACACTTTTGGAACATTTTGGGATCTTTCGGTAGGCCCAGGCCACCGTTTTGGATCCATTTCTGAGGAAATTTTTTTTGAATTTTGGGAATTTTTTTAGATTTTGGTATCTCTCCCATCATTTACAAACTCTTGAATTCAAATTTCCCAAATTTCCATTGATGAATTTGGAGCCAATTTTAGGACTCCAGTGGCCATTCTGAAGGCCCAGGCTGCCGTTTTGAAGGCCCAGGCCGCCGTTTTGGATCCATTTTTGAGGAAATTTTTTTGGAATTTCTGGGAATTTCTGGCAATTTTGGGATTCTGGGTCACTCACGTGCTCCTGGATCCTCAATTCCTGGAATTTGGTGAATTTGGAGCCAATTTTATGACTCTGGTGGCCCTTTTGAAGGCCCAGGCCGCCATTTTGAAGGCCCAGGCCGCCATTTTGAAGGCCCTGGCTGCCGTATTGGATCCATTTCTGAGGGAATTTTTTGGGAATTTTTTGGAATTTTGGGATTCTCTGTCACTCACGTGCTCCTGGATCCTCAATTCCTGGAATTTGATGAATTTGGAGCCCCGGCTCTGCAGGTAGAGCCGTCCCCCCGAGCGGTTGGTTTGGCATTCCCGGCTCGGGCACAGCAGCAGCGGAGTGAACGTTGGGCTTTCAATCTGGAAAAAAAAAATCCCAAAAACTCAGAGATATCCCCCAAAATCCCACCTGAATCCCAAGAAATTTGCCAGGAAACGAAAAATATTCACCTAAAATTGAAAAAAAAAAGCCCCAAAATGAAAAAAAAAATTCCCATTGGGAAAGGCGGGAATATGGGGCCTTTGATCTGAGGGGGAGAAAAACCCCCAAAAATTCTGGGAAAAGACCCCAAAAATTCAGAGAAATTCCACCCAAATCCCAAAAAATTTACCTGAAATTTCCACAAAACCACTCAAATCCATTCCCAGTCCATCCCAGTATATCCCAGTACCAGCTGGTAGGTCTCGACCCCGCACTGGTCACAGCTGTAGGTGGCACTGAGACCCCAAATCCCCTCGAAATGGCCCCAAATCCCCCCGAAATGGCCCCAAATGGCCCCGAAATGGCCCCAAATGATCCCAAATCCCCCCAAAATGACCCCAAATCAGCTCCAATCCATTCCCAGTCCATCCCAGTTTATCCCAGTTTATCCCAGTACCGGTTGGTAGGTCTCAGCCCCGCACTGGTCACAGCTGTAGGTGGCACTGAGATCCCAAATGGCCCCGAAATGGCCCGAAATGACCCCAAATGGCCCCGAAATGGCCCCAAATCAGCTCCAATCCATTCCCAGTCTGTCCCAGTCCATCCCAGTATATCCCAGTTTATTCCAGTACCGGTTGGTAGGTCTCGGCCCCGCACTGGTCACAGCTGTAGGTGGCACTGAGACCCCAAATGGCCCCGAAATGGCCCCGAAATG